GGGGGGGGCGGCTTGTTGTACAACGTCGTTGCCAAGCGACGAAAACCCAACCCCGATGGTAAACACCGGTGGGGATAGGGGGGAGGGGTATATCTCCCGCGTTGATACTGGAGCGTTGTTGTTGTGTTTTTTTTCACACTTAGAACCGTTCCGTTTTTTCCACCCAGTACCTCTTTCTGTCCGTACTAGTCAAGCACTTGACGCGGTCAATTCCCGTGGTCACAGGCTAAATCACCCAAAAATGGTATACACAAATCAAATGGACCCGAAGGGTCCGTAAGTCAATTGAAATCAACGACTGATAGTCTAATATTCTTCGCTCGCCTCTACACGATATGCCAGGTAGCCATAGGCTGGAAAAGAAAAAGAAAAAGAAAAAGAAAAAGAAAAAGAAAGCAGGAAAAGGAAAAGGAAACGGAAAAGAAGGAAAAGCAGAGGGAGCAAAAGAGAAAGTCACAAGAGAAAGACATACGCCAGAACCACTTTCCGTCGCGACCAACAAACAATACAACACAAGACAGCTCAAACGGGCCACCCGAGACAGCAAACGCACGTCAGCACTTGTGGGGGGTTGGTGCATTGGTGCAGTTACGGGGACGGGGACTATCAAGGTGTTCAATCCGGCACGGCATTTCGCACCACTCGGTCCGCGTCTTCTCGTCTTCTGTTTTCCGTCGCCGTCATGTGCGTCTGCTGTACCCCTCCCGCCCCATTGGTTGTTTCCGTGTCCGTGTTGTTGCCAGGCTTGTTGTTTGGTTTAAGCGCTCGTTGTCGGCTACCGTCCTCTTCATCCTTGTGCCGGGCGGTCATGAACGTCGTAGCTCCCTGCAGTGCCCCCGTTTGCTACGATACACCGCGCTCCATCTTGGCTGCTTACATCCAAGCTGTTTGCGGGGCTCCGAAGAAGGATGACTCGGTGTCCTTACATCCGTGCTCTGCCTCGAACATCTTGAGGTCCTTCCAAACACATCTGTTAGCTTTACTCCGGTTTCGCCCTGCCAGGTCCCTCTCCTCCAACCAGCTCGCGAAGCATCAACCGTTGGGTATGTATTACCGTAATCTACGGAGTTTCCCCCCCTAGTACAGTCACCCCCCCCCATTACCTTTTCGGCCTGGAAGCATGGTTTCGTTGATGTAGCCCCGGGGTAGATCGTTTTGGCCAACAACAAGTTTGCCCCGGTTTTTGCCATTTCGCCCCGGGAAACTAGTTTTTCCACGAGTCCCCCCCGATGTATTTCCCTTATTTTCTGAGTCGACTCTGTTTCATCGCGGAGCACAAAAGCATGATATTGGACGGAAAAATCGTTTGCAGATCTGCGCTTCGAGCGAGATCTGGGTGTACCGTTTGTCACTTGGCCGTCGAGGTTGTTTTGTGGGTGAAATGCTTCCGTCTTCTTGTCTTTTTCTTGCATTTATCATCCCTGGAGTCAGCTGAAACGTACCGTAGCATGCTAAGGAAACCTTGCGCAGAAAGGAAAAAGAAATATCGCATTCATGTTTGGATCGCGCAACTCAAGGTAGAACCGAACCATGAAAAGGGCTTATTCCTGCGGACAAACTGCGAATTAATGTTAGGGTCTCGCGTGACCCTCTTTTTGGGCCTTTTTTCTGTCACGCGGAGTTACTTTCGTACAAATCCTAATTCCTTCTTAGACCAATCACATTTCACCAATTCAGGCGAACAGACCGCAAAATGATCGGGTATGAGCGTGTTTTTGTTCAATTTTTTTTTGAGTGTGTGTGGGAAAGCGTCTGGCGTCTTGGATTGACTTTATTGGGCCCACAGCAGACATAAAGAGTGTGCGGCACGCTGCTCCGCCCTATTGGACGTCTGAGGAGTCTGAGTGTGAGAGTGATGGGTCGGATGCGCTGAGTTTTAGCTCGGGGGATGAGGAGAGCGCCGACAGAGAGAAGACTTGATGAAAAAATTTTTTCCAAAAACTGCGATTATTGAGTTGTACACACGCAGTAGGAATTGCACCGGCCCCCACCCTTCCCCAACTTGGGTGAGGTTCAAGTGACATGGCGTCGCGAGTGCAGTACCCATAGCTACTTTTGGCGCTGGAACGGTAGCAAACGCTGCTCTAGTGCCCGTGGTAGCGTGCGTGCGCCTTGCACAAGTTGTGATGTATCGTGTGCAAAAATTCTCCGCAGGCAAAAAATTGTTCAGCGTGGCGCGCTCGCGTGTGTGTGTGTTTTTGAGTTGTGTACACGCAAAACGAATTACACCGGCCCCCACCCTTCCCCAACTTGGGTGAGGTTCAAGTGACAATGCGTCGCGAGTGCAGTACCCATAGCTACTTTTGGCGCTGGAACGGTAGCAAACGCTGCTCTAGTGCCCGTGGTAGCGTGCGTGCGCCCTGCACAAGATGTGATGTATCGTGTGCAAAAATTCTCCGCAGGCAAAAAATTGTTCAGCGTGGCGCGCTCGCGTGTGTGTGTGTTTTTGAGTTGTGTACACGCAAAACAAATTACACCGGCCCCCACCCTTCCCCAACTTGGGTGAGGTTCAAGTGACAATGCGTCGCGAGTGCAGTACCCATAGCTACTTTTGGCGCTGGAACGGTAGCAAACGCTGCTCTAGTGCCCGTGGTAGCGTGCGTGCGCCCTGCACAAGATGTGATGTATCGTGTGCGAAAATCCTCCGCACACCATGAAAAAATCTGAGAGGGGGTGATTTTTTTTAGTATGACAAACAAAACAAATTGCACCGGAGAGAAATTCCCTTCGGTGCCGGAGAGGGTTCGCGTGCGGCCTTGAGCGCCGCGACGTGTTCCTTCAGAGCAGAAGCCTGCTTTACGATCGTCTCCCTTTGGCGGCTACCCTGTTTCGGCCGAGAGCAGAGCAGCAAGGTGGGAAAAGCAGGAACACATCCAAGTTGAAGATTATGAGACAAGAGAGCTGTGAAAAAAAGCCGTTCAGAGAAAAAAGACCAACCACCAAAAAATATGTAGCTCTCCCTGCCACGACCTATCGCCGTCCTCACCTACCTGTCTTCTCAGGTTGGCGTTGGCCGTAACCAGCTTCCTCATAGTTTGCAGGTCTCTCTCCCTCTGAGCCGCCCTCCTCGCCTCGTTCATGACCTGATGCCGAAGAACCAAGCTCGACCCAACAGCAGGCGCAGCAGCAGCAGGAGCAGGAGGAGGAGCTCGTTCCCGCCGTTTTAGACCAAGCTCCGCCGCCAGCTCGCGATATTTTTTGTCCTGCTCCCGTTTCTCTGAAGTCAAACGAGCCATCTTCTGCTCCAAGAGATCAACCCGCCGCTGCCTCAGCTCCAGCTACTTCTTCGCCACACGGTTGGCCTCCTCCGCCTTCACCCTGCTCGCGTGTTCGGCGTCCGCTGCATCCTTCGCTAGGTCAATCAGCCGCTGCTTCTCCTCGGCATCTTTTTTTGCTTCCCTCGCTGCTTTCTCCGCACTTCGTTTCGCTGCCATCGCCTTGTTTTTACTTTCACGCGCTACATCAGCAACTCTCTTCGCCTTGGTGAGGCTGAGGCCAAGCGAAGCAACGTCCCCGCGTACCGCGGCGGCTGCGCGCTTGCTGACACCCGACTTCTCTCCCATGCTCATCCCAGTTTCTGCCAACATTTTCTCGTTTTGACGGCGCAGCTTGTTTTTGTTTTTTGTCTTCACCGAGCGTGGTTTTTTTGACCGTGCCTTAGCCATCGGCACCATTTCTTGTAACCCGTGCTGTGCGGCGTAGGAGTGGTGGATTGTAGTGCGGATTGTTGCGTAGCCTCCGCAGGAGCGAGAGCTGTGTTTTGGTCGTTTTTGTTTTTCGTTATCTCCACACACGTACGAGGCTGCCGGTAAGAAACACCGAAAATCACTTGTTTTTAGAGTGTTTGCTGACTTTTTGATGCCCATTCCGAAAAACATACGACAGAAACATCCGTATGACCTGTTCACATGTCTCCGTGGAATGTCAAGAGTCAGTTCGTTCGTGGGAGCCAGAGATTCGGGATATTCGTTGCAACTCTAATATCAAGTTAAAGCACGTTTTGGCGTAGTCAGATATTTTTGCGGAAGAACTTTGTTTTTGGAAAAACACACAGACAAATCACGAATAATCATGCCACGCGCATACACGAATTCGGGGGGTCACGCGAGACCCTAACTGTGCATGAGCGTTGGCGATGGTACCTCTTGCTGTGTTTTTTATCTTCGCCTTCGTTGCTCTTACGTTCCTCCTCCCTCTGCTTGTTGAACGCTTGCTCGTGAAACTTATCTATCCCAGTTTCGTCACTCTGTATGTGTGGTGTGTGGACCATCATTATTTTGAACAACCCGGGCTTGCGTTTGAAAAAAAGGAAAACGCCGTTCGTCATTTTCCCCCCAGGAGGTTTGGTTTCAGAGTAAAAAACGATCCCCTTCACTCCCCAGGGGGGAAACTCCGTAGTTTACGGCGTGTAACAACACACCATCACGGCATCCTCGCAGCACACTTATATCCACAACGCCGCTCTGCAGCAGCAGGGGAGCTGCAGGGAGAGATGGGGGCTCGAAGTAGCTTTTGCATGAAGTACATCACAAGCAAGCGGATCTCATGATAATACCTCCTCTCTCTCTTTCTCTCTATGTCTTCATGTTTGCTCCAATCAGCACCGGTGCTGCTGCATGCACTGGGTTGCTGGTGGCCTAGCAGTATACTGCAAAAATGACAGGTCTTATCGGGTCGTGACGCCGCGTCGTACCCAGTGGATTGGAGTCTTCAGCGTACCCTTCTATTCTTTCGTGTCGCCATCGGACCGGGAAACAAACAATAAACTAAATGCTCCCCTCGGTAACGTTTTTTTAGTTCGGTCATGATTGGTACGGGAACCAGCAAACACAGCAGTGTGTGTCTCAACTGTCGACACTCTGTGCTGAAGTACTAGTTTTTTTTTCGGTGCATAGTCTATACACGCCAGCATACCTGTTTTTGGGCGATCTTCCAGCTCCGGCGCGGATATGCAAGTCGCACGCAGATATGCGTATGTTACAGCAGTACATCCGCCGTAAATACTACAATACAGCAGTCCTACCTGCATGTACTTGAAGCCTAAAGTGTCGTACAGCAGCAGTAGAGATCCGCCGTAGGATACTGCAGTACCACTGCTGTAGTCTACGCGTGGTGAACGTCTTTGCACAGCAGTATACACTTGTCCATTGAAATCACTATGCGCCTCCAGCAGGCCTCCATAGGGAAAACTTGGAAGTCACTAGACTCACTACACTACAGCATCAGCACAAACCAATTGTATAATGGTACTTCTGTACCCAAAAATAAACTGTATCGGTGTATCAATAAATATAATATGGTACCCTTGTTTTATACTGTATGTTGTCGGTAAACACTGACTGACTGACTGCTGTGCTGTTCGTTAGGAAAAAGAGAGGACGCACACAGAAACAGAAGATGAAAGACGGTTGCACTGCTGGTCTGTTGTAGGGTATTGTTATCGGCGTCAAGAGGCAGCCACTCACTGCTGTTTTGAACGGATCTTTCCGAAACGCACCTGTGTTCGTCATCCACGACCTCGAGACAGACGCTAACCAACGAACAACAAGCAAGCGCATGTGTGTAGAGGACTCCGCGCAAAGAGAAATATATGTGTGCTTTATTGCTTCCTTTTTTTATTTGTCGTTCAATGCCCCCAACTCGGGCTCCCGCCGTTGGATTGTCGTACTGTTGTATACCGTTAAGCACTGTAGTACCGGGGCCATCGACGGAAACGCACGTTTTGCGGCGGCAGGAACTGTGACTCGTTTCGTCAAGCCGTCATACACCAAACAAATTGCAATCCATTCAAAGGATCAAAGGAAGGCAGGCCACGGATTGGAGGCAGCCCTTCAAGAGCAGGGCAATTTATGTTGGATAGTTACTGGCCATCACGGTCGTTTCCTTACGGAAACCAACGACCACGGTAATGCACGGCAATGTTGGATGGTAACAAAACCACACGGGTATGCACCATGATTGTTTTGCGTTCTTGTTCAGCGCGTGTGACACCCAATAGATGCGTTCCGCAAAGAACCGAAATCGCGAGTGAACCTGCAGTGGGGTGCCCCGTTTCTATTCAGGGCAAGTCGCCAAACCGAACTGCTTCAGAAGTACCAATTATAAAGCAGTTATTCTACTGGCCTGCGCCGGTGCGACGTGCTTGTTTTGTTGCTAAACAGAGCGTGTTGCTAAACAGGGGCTCGCTAAACGGAGCGCCCTACTGTATCGCATTTTCGATTTTCAGTTGTATTGAGACTGCAGGCCAAATCTCGCAGTCGAATCACGGAAAGACCAGGCAAATAACTAAGGACAAACAACGACGTTATACCCAGATCTATTCTTCGAAATATCAATCACTTGATCACTTATCTGAGCTACGTGAGGATTCGCATGCATCGAACTTATCTGCGAGACGACACATTCAAGTTACTAAATCAACGACCACGCACATGCACATCAAGCTAAACCACAAGCACGTATGGTGCCGTCCAGCCTGTACACTATGATGTGCTACGCCAAACAGCGGGCAAGCAGTTGAAACACAGAAACAACAAACGCCTGCCTGGAGGTTTGTTGTCAGCCCCCTGAGCTACTCTATATGGTAGTCTGTATGGGATTACCGCACGGGATTGGCAATTCAGCACCTGCGCGGTACAACGCCGGCTACGATGTAAGAGAAGCCGTGACAAGCCGAAATCATTCTCTTATATGCGACTTCTTTCTATCATTTTGGTTTCGAGAGTTTTACCTTTCGACGCAAGTACGAAATATGAGAGCTTTGTCGGATATCGTATTACGGAGGAATATAGTATTCAGGTCCTTGGCAGTTGGTTAAGCAATATTAGGTCAATGGTGTTGATCTATAGCTTAAACAAACCGTATGGAACAGGCGTTCACGATGGAAAAAAACAAAAAACAAGTCGGCGATGCCACAGAGAAACGCCTCATTATGTCATTTTTTACCCCGCGGGGCAGATTCTAGATATGGCGCGAATCCCAGCATATCTTGGCCGTTTTTCCATGCATGTTAACCCACGATGGCTTGAATGAACCGCAGTGTCAACGCCGTCATAATGAAATAGAAAATACAAAAAGCAAAGTTTTCCCGAAGAGCAATCGCCACATGTGCCGAATTTTGGCCTTGGCGGCGGCGGGAAATTTGGCCCAGGTTGTTTGATATCTTGGGCAAATGGCTGCTTATGTCCAACACCCACAGCTCAAACGAACCGCATCACTGGGATCGCCATGCGAGAAAAGAATGCTGAAAGACATGTTGGTGTTCAAAAAATTATCATGTATTATCGACCGCGACATGTCAACCTTGATCGTTGTCGATTAAGCTGCAAGACACCACACAGAACGAATGAAAACATGGTAACTGTCATTCCCTTGGAATCTGCAACATGCCATGACTCAAACCACCACATTGACTCAGGGGAGAGGACCCCTTCGAGACAGCGATGTCCAGAAGAGAGCCTGTCCCGGGGGCCAAGTCGTCACGCTGCTGGACAGCTTGTGCTCGCGCGCCTCTTGCTAGGGCGTACGTGTGTCCGCTTCGGGTACTTGCTGCTGCCGCTGCTTCTCCGCCATCGCGGCCTCGCAAGCGGCGACGGTTGCTTCGCGGACAGCGAGAGCTGCCTCCTTCGCGCGCAGCATGTTCGCCAAGTTCGCTTTCTCCGTCTTGGCCTTCCCTTTGGCTGTCACGCCGGTCGCAACATAGCGACCGTTCCTTTTGGTCACCATGTGCGCATGTGCAGCCGTAGTCACCAGACCCAAGGTGCCTCTGTTCCACAGCGCAGTGCTGACACCGACGTGTTGGATTTCGAAGAGGGGCACGTTGCCCGGAGCGCACGCTTCCAGGGTTTCCAAAAAGTTCTGCTGGCGTTGCCAATTCAGAACCAGGCTGGTCCGACTCTATTTCCCAGTGAAAAAAAGGCGCTTGAAGTGCCCATTTTCAGCTGCATATTTGTACGCGATATAGAAAGTCTGAGTGCAACCCAGGTTTCTACAGAGAGCTGTGGTCATGAGCTTCCTTTTGATCCCCATGTGCATACTCGTGCCCTCCTTTGGGTGTCCGAGGATCTCTTCTGAAGGCCACAAGTACATAGTTTTTCGGACAAAAGCATTGAAAAATAGAATCAAAAATACTTTCTTCAGGGCAATTTAGACCTGAATACTGTGTTCGTCCGTAATAGTAAAAATGCTCAAGGACCATTAGAGCAACAATCCTTCCACGTTGATGTCAGGGCTCCATGAGCGCACTCAAAACCATGTGGGCGTCATGCTACGGCAACGACAACGCATTGTTTTCACTCACGCACCGTCCGATCTATTTTGGTTATTGCGTATATCCACAAAAACAAAATGCCCTGCGAAGGTATGTTTACGGGTCTGCTACGCGCTGTGTCTACAAGTGCCGCCTCGGGGAAAATAATGTTTTCAACTGTTTGGGCGTAAGCTGCACTTTTTAATTCTGCTGAAACAAAGACTGCTGCTGCGTTCTCCAACTTCATGCTTTTCGGCCGGTATTTGCATGTGCTTTCATCGTATGTATTATGGCGACAGTCCCCCCATTTTTCGTGGTGAGACGTGTATGTACTACACCTTTTCAGCGTATGTAGAGTATCAGTGTAATTCGTACAACCGCGACTATCCAGGGTCACACAGGACGGGGTAAACACCTAGACTTTTTCCCCTTTTTATTTCTTGCCATGCCCCCCCCTTCCTCCTGCGGTGCGTGTTGAATTGTTATTTTATCGCGTGAAAGGCCCAGCCGTCCCTTTCCCTCGTCACGGCAACGGTGCTAACGTCGAAGTTTGGTACTCACAACAGCTTGTCAGCTATATTTCGCTTCCACCCGCACATTTCGTAAATTTTTCGCCCCATGGGGATTCGAACTCACGACCTCTGCGACTAGCGGATTACGAGGATACCACTAGACCACCGGGGCGACCTATATTTGTATTGACATCGCTCAGATGTTTCTGCGCGGTCTCTGTGATCAGTTGACGGGTAATAAAGTTCCTCTTGCGGAACACCACGGGCAGGGTAAAAATTGGAGCCGGTATCGTTCCCTATTTGCCTGTGTTGTTCGCTGCGCAGCAGTGGGCGTGGTGAGTCCCAAGCACGCATACGTTAGGGTTGCGTGCTTGCCGCAAATCATACTGCTGTAACCCGCTGCCCTTGTGTTTTGTACGGCGTTGCTGATGGTGTGTGGAACGTGTGTGGTTTGAGCGACAATATGTTAAAACTATTGTGTAAAGCTTGCGATGGCTTTTGTGGCGCGGATTCGCGGCCCCTGACACAGAGCCAGTGCCAGCGACTTATAGTGGCCAATACGCGCACCACCAATGTCTAACGTGCCTCACACACAATGGGCAATGTACAGACGGGTCCTCTGAGGCCCATGCAGAAGAGCGCGTGACGAAAAACGGGAGAACGCTTCACCTCCCACCCCATTGATTTCCCTGTATTCTCTGGTACTGCCTCCTTTCCGTGTTAGAAAACGTTGCTCGTACACGTTTGCTTTGCTTCTCCTGACCCCTGATTGCCGGTCCACGCGAGGTAAGCCTTATGAAGATAATAGGAACGCCGGACTGCCGCGTTTCTCAGCAACATCTCGAAATCACACAAATGACGTCAACCTCCTAGTACGGTGGCGAGCGTGTTTTATTTAGATCTGTTTGTCAGCGCTCGGTTCAACCCTTACGTAACTGGGTTAGTTTGAAGTTTTTGTTTTTATTCCACAACTGGCTGTCTGCGGTCAAAGATCTTCCATGCGTGCGTGTACACCCACAAATAACGGTGGTAAGGATGGTGCAGCAGTGATTGCATGTGTGGTGCTCACAAGGATGGAGACGCGCTACATGTAAGGGTGGCTAGCAGCAGTACAGTAGTAATACTACTGCTGTACAACAGCAGCAGTTATGCGGAAAGAAATGTAGACTTACAGCAGCAGTAGTTTCTGATGAGCAGGTGTGCATGCCTGCTTACGACAGCAACCATCCGCACAGAGGATGTACTTGTGCAAGCAATACCTATTGGCACATCTTCTCCACCTTATCCTTGGACAACCTCATTCTTGGACAGAGCATACTGCAAGAGCAAATCATATGCTAGCGGCGCTAGATGCGAAGACGCTGACCGGAGCCCGCCTCCCAGAAGCGCCAGATAGACGAAAAAAACGGCCCACTCATCAGAGAATCGAGACCATCATCCACTATCGCACAAAATGCATTAAAATCGTGACAAATTTTACAATTCTGTACCACAAATAGAGAGGTGTGATCGGAGTTGTAGTCGTGAAAATCCTCTGCTTTGAGCGAAAATTTGCACACAGCAGACGACCCGCCCTTCACTCCCATTACGGGGAACCACACGCACCGCAATAACAACAATATCAAGCTCCCAGGTAGCGTTAGCATCGGCTCCGGTGTGCGTTTTCTCTGCTCTCCCCCGCGAATGCGACATCGGGTTGATCACATGTTCAAGTTGCTGTGTGTACCCTCCGGTGGTATTTTGCGTTTAAATATTAGGACCGGCAGGCATTGGATTGGATCTGGAAAGGATATCTGCCCCACATCAGGGATATTAGACATGGGGAATAGTATTGTACTGTGTGTCCTCTGCGCATTGCTGATAAGCGTACTTGTGGGGAGGGCTGCCTCTGTGTCTCCCTGCTGGTCTTATGTAATGCTTTTGCTCTTAGGCGAGGCTCAACGACGATCTTTCGGCACGCAAAGTGATCGGAGCTGAGAACGGAGCTGAATCGTCCTATAGTCACGTAAGGGTTAAGAGAATTCCTGAGGAACAAGGCAAATTTTTCTATCATGTTTCGACATTTGCCATGACAAGCCACATCATTATCTTGTATCCGTAGTCTGCTCTGTAATTGTTTGGTTGGTATCAAAGAGCCACGTTCAGCATTCGCAAAGTAATTCGATGGGGGGATGGCGGGATAGGTTTCCTTGGTTTGGATGGGAACGGGCGGAAACGATCTGGTCGGTACTAGTTTGGAAGGGTACGGTAACTGCGATTATCATGGTAACACCAAGTACATTATTCCCGAGGAGCCTCGAAAATTTCAATCGGGGAAAGCAACCGTGACACGCGGCACTCTATATGCAATAACTGATTCAAAACACTGTGGTGTTTTGCTCTTAGCCTATAGAATCATCTAATGAAAGTATTGGATTTTGGATGAGGCCTCCAGCTCTGAGGCCGACGGCCCCACGGACTACTGCCGCACCGACCGCAGTTGGTGCGGCAAGGAGTCTTTATATGATCCATAAACGTGTACGCCTGAACACCAGGGGGTGTGGGTGGTCTTAAATTTTCCTGTTCTACCTGGCGTTTTATCGTAATCAAGGTCAGGGATAATTGATACTGATCAACTGTGTGCTTGTATCAACAGATTCCAAGCGCTGGCGCCTTCCTCCATATTTCGTTCCGAATCTTGGATTCATGCGTAGCCCAATTTCACTGCTGTATTTTGTTCCTGGCCTAGGGCCATTTAATGAAAGTATCGGATTGTGGATGAGGCCTCCAGCTCCGGCTTGTGGTCCCACACAATCTTTCCTTTTTAAAGTCTTGTGTTTGACTACTGACCTGGAGCCTGGATGAATCATCCAACCTTTCGTGGATTTGAGTCGTTTCATCAACGGTTCCTGCGGCGGGCACACGCTGCAAAGTCTCTTCAAAGGCCGGAGACAGCGACGCCTCGTTGGTGGCTGTGTAGACGCCCGCTCCCGAGTGGAGGAGGATTCAACGTAGTACTTCGCCGTGGACTCCGTTTTCCAAACCCCAGCCTGCATGATCTCCTCTATCGCGGCACCGCCCATGGACCTGCTCAATTCCCCCCCCCTACGTATTGCCAAAGGTTTGACTGTGGTCTCGCTTTGCAAGGTTCCCTTCTTGGAATCGTCCAAACCTAAAAGATTGGAGTGGACGCGTGATGTGGCGTTCCCAATAATGTACTCGTTGTTGGTATGTCCGTACTTGGGAGGAGAAGACACGCTTTCACTCTCTCTGATTAGGCACCCGCGGGAGCGAGGAAAGGAAGGGAAGAAGTGGCCCTCCCGAATTAGGGGAAGGGGGCCCACACACAGTAGCCTTTTTCAGGCATCCGCATGCTCCTGTCTACGTACCCCCCCCGTGCTGCTAGCAGATCTATCATGCTCGTATCCAGATACACGAACACCCTCCCCGGTTCGTCAAGCTATCGAGAAACCATCAGTGGGGCATGGATACTCAAGATCTACTTAGGTTACCCATACAAAACGGGTGCAAGGGAAAAACTCGGCCATGCGGATCAAAAACCCTCGCCTACAAACTCAAAACATAAAAGGAACCGTCGCTATCACGAAGGATTCCAACGGCCGCACTATCAGGGCAGGACCAAGGCAGGACAGATTGGACAGGCCACGCTGATTACACACCCGAAGCAATTGGTCAAAAACCCTAAGCTCCCGCCGCGGGTGACGCCCCTGCCCAACGCTTCCTGCGTGACATGCCATGGTCCGAGACATCCAGTGCTAGAACAAAACAAAACAAACGCCACGAAAACGAGACCAGAACCCTACATCGGCAGGTTCATCAGAGCCTTCCGGTGGTACTCCAACTTGCCCCTACCAAGGACCTTGGTCAGCATATCGGCGTGCTGCTCTTCTGTCGAGACATAATCTGCGGTGATCTTGCCCGCCTTGAAGAGCTCGCGGATGAAGTGGAACCGCACGTCGATATGCTTGCTCCTCGCCGAGCTGAAAGGGTTCTGCACCAACGCGAGAGCCCCCTCGTTGTCCTCACGGACCCTGATCGTGGCACCGCTCGTCTCGGGCGCAATGAACGACAGAACACCACGCACGAACAACGCTTCCTTCACGCCCTCCCCGGGTGCAATATACTCTGCCTCCGTGGTCGACTGAGCCGTCACTGGCTGTGTCTTCGTGGATGCGCACACTACGGCCCCACCTACAGTCGCGGCTAACCCCGTCGTCGAACGTGTCAACGGTGCTGTCGGCGTAACTAGAATCGACGAACACGTCTAGGTCTAGCCCTGATCCGCGGACGTAGGTGATCCCGAGGT